CCACGAAGGGTCCCAATCAAAATCTCTTATAACCCCCCCGATCGACACCCCCCCCCCCCTATTTTTTAAACAATATAACAAAATAATTTGTTTTTTATAACCTTTTCGATCTTTTTTTAGCCCCCAAATCACGTTGGGGGATCATACTACCGTACTGGTAATTTATTCCCTTCTGGTTTTCCCCTTAATTTAGAAAAAATTTTCTTAATTTCCTTTTTTTCCAAAATTTTTTTAAAATTCATGGGAAATTTCCCCTGATGTGGGTGATTTTCAAAATTGTGGGTTTTTTAAAAAATACATTATAAATTTTGTATTATCTTTCTTTCCCCCTTTTTAAAAAATTTTATGCATTATATATCACCCTAAACTTCTTTTAAACCAAAAGTAGGGAATTTTCCAAAATTTTTTAAACTTCTCATAAAGAAAAATTTCTGATCATTGGGAACCTTTTTGTTGCTCTTTTTTTAACCCCTTTTGATTCCCTTTAATAAACTTTTTTAAAACTTGGGCTCCAAATAATATTTTTCCATATTTAAGGGGTTGGTTTTTTATAAAGGTTTTTTTTTAAAGTTTTTGAAATTGGGTTGATATTAACATTTAAAAAGGGATTTCTTGGGCAAAACCAAATTTTAATTTTAAAATTTCCCTTTTTTAACAATTAACCCTTTTTTTTGGGTTGGGAAAATTTTTAAAACCTTTACATATAATATACCTAAATCTTCCCTTTTTTTCCAATAGACCTCAATTTTTATTTTTAAAGTCAAATTTTCATAAATATTTAATTTTTTCGTGTTTTTTGTGTCCATTTAAATAAAAGCATTTTTTTCTACATTAAAAACCCTTAAACCCCTTTTTACTTCCCCTTTTAATTAAAATATCATTGCATTTTGTTTTTTTGGGTTTAAAATCTTCATTTACATTTTCCATTTTTTAAAAAAAATTTGGGGTCACCCCAAAAAAGACGCAAAGGGACTTTTTTTTTGACTTTCCAAAGTATTAAAGAATATAAAACAATATTTGGTCCTAAAACACTTCCCCTGTGGGAAAACCCCTTGTTAAAAAACTACAAATAAAGTCCCGATTTACTTAAATTAAAAAACAAAAAAACACACTGATTCCCTTTTTAAGGAATTTTTTTGACCAAAAAAGTTTCACCACCAAACCCTAAAAATTGGCCCAATTTTTTAATTTTTAGTCTTTGAATTTTTGGAAAAACCCTAAAATGGGTTTCAAATCTTTTAAAATTTATTTAAAACAAAAAATTTAAAATTTTGCCCCTTTATTTTAACCAAACCTTTTTTCCCCTTTTTTTATGACTTTTTTAAATAACTTAAAAGGGAAAATGATCAAAATTTACTAAACCCCATTTGGGCCCGCAGAAAAAGTTTTTTAACATTTATTAAAGTCTACAATATTTTTTCCTACTACTTTTTTCCAAAAAATTTACAGGGGTATACATGTCCCAAAAAAATAAAATTTTGGGGGGTTTTAATTTCCCCGGGGGAAACTTTACTTCCCTTTTTAAATTTTAAAACTTTTAGTTTGGGAGCTTCCAATCCATAGGCCCAAATTTTCCCTTTCTAAAGAATTTAGTAAATAAAATTTTTTAAAAGAGAAACCCAATTTAGTTCTCAACCCCTTTTTAAAAACCCTTTGGGGGAAGAAATTTTTGGACACAAGATTTTTTTTAACTTTTAAATTCCAAGTAGCTTATCCCCCTACTTCCCCCCTTTAAAAAATGTATTTAAAAGTATTTCCCCCACTGCGATTTTTTAATATTTTGAAAGTTTTTAAAACTTCATTTGAAATTTCACTTTTGGAATTTTTTTAAGTTCATTACTTTAACCCAGGGACTTTTTTGTTTTAAGTGCCTTTTTTACATTTTTAAAAGAGAAAATACCTTTTTTCTTTTTTTTTATTTCAATTATTTTAAAAAACCTTTTTTTTTACTTCTTCTGGGAAATTTTTTTTAAAAAACTGACCCGCCTTTTTTACCCTTCCCTTTTTTGAATATTTTTTTTTTGTTAAATTAGTTCAAATAGATCTTAAATTCTTTTTTTGTTTATATCTTTTTTCCCCTGATTTATTTTCTCCTTTTCAGCTTTCAAGGCTGTATTTTCATCCAAAGCCCCGTTTTTCGAACCACATGTTTTAAAAATTTTTTTCTAAAAAAATGTTTATTTTCACATTTTTAATTTTTTCTTTAAAAAATTTTTCCCTTTTAAACCTCCAGACCTTTTTTGGGTGAAAAATTTCCCATTTTTCCCTATTATTTTAAACTCATTTCAAAATTTATTGGGAAACCCTAAACACCTTAAACATACCCTTAAATTCAATAATTTTCTCCCACATTTAACTATAGTTAAAGAAGTCACAGTATAGTGATCAAATTTTTTCCCCAACTGTGGAAAGGTTCCCAAATTCATTAAAAACTCTTTCATTAGTAAATTATGAGGTGGTGCTAAGATTCTGGGCCATTTGAAATCTTGTTAAAATTTTCTATTTGATAAAAAACTATCAACATACGCCCTTAAAATGAATCATGACGAACTAAATGATTTTCAAGCATATTAGAAATCCAGTTTGATCCAATCAAATCTCACATAATTAAAGTCACCCATCACCCAACTATCTACTGTGAACTGTCTTTTATACAGCTAAACATAGTATTTAATTCTTTGTTATTTATAATCACATGAATTTGGAGATACTATATACTATACCAATTAAAATATTTTCATGTTTATTAATTTCAACTTCACACCATACTGCTTCTTTACAAGAAATGCTATTTAGTCTTTCATAGAGAGATGCCCCTATACTAAGCGAATAAATAATAAGGTTCCTCTGTTACCTTTGTCAGTAAAAATTTAGGATTGCAAAATAACTGATATCCTTTAATATTATAACTCAACAAGTCAAAATAACATTCTGCTGTTTTAGAAAAAGCTTCCGTTAATCCAATAAACATCTGGCTGATGTATAAACACAAGAGCTTCCCATTTCCTGTCCATTTATTAGCTATATCTGTCAGCATTGGTATATAAGCATTTTTAAAATCCATTATTTTTTTTACACTAAAGTTAACAGTAGTTTGTGAATGAATTTGAAGAATCTGTTATAATCACTATCTGAAGAAAAAAGAGTCCATACTATTACCACTATAATCTATATCCACTTCAGAAGACAAATCTAAATCTATTTTATGGTCTAATAAAAGTTTTTGAAGAAGTGTCATGTTTTAGGGACCCTTTTCAATTTTAAACCAAAAAAATTCATTGATAAATGCAATCAAAAATGCTTCAAAATAAAGTCATTTTTTACTAATAAAACCCATTTCTTGAGGTACTAAAAAACTTGTTTCCCAAAAAAAAGAAAAAAAATTTAAAAATAAAACAAAATTTAACTATGTAAAAAAACCGGGAAAAATTTTTTAACTGTCCCATGCCAAAAACAAATCCTGCTGGACCTTCCCCCCAAAAGGGGGAAATAATTAAAAAAAAGTTTAATTTTTAGTGTATGGAATTTTAAAACTTCCCGTCCCAAACTTTTGTTTCCTTTTTGAAAATTTATCCTTTTTTTTCAAAAGTGAAAAGGGTCTACTCTCGAGTTTGGGAATTCGGCCTTTATTAAAATTTTTTGTTCCCCCCTGACGCATGGTATAGTCTGGAGTTATGATAACATTTTTAAATTTCTTTTGACAATTTTACCATTTTGTGACAAATCTGTGTTTTTCAGTTTCATTTGAAAAACTTACTTTAAGGGGCCTTGGTCGGGGCCTATGACCTGACTTTTTTACCAAGCCTTATTATATTTATGCCTTGCTGAACAGATGCCAATTCACACATCTTTTTTAACATTCTCAAGATCTCTATTTTTCATAATCTTCAAAACTTTCATCTGCTTCAGGGAGACTAAATACTATAGCACTATTTTTTCTCTTTTCACGCTCCTTAAAATCCATTATGGCCTGAGCAACTTTAATTTCATTTAAGAGGTTAGAGTTTTGTTACATTTGCATTTTGTCTAATCTTCCCTCCACTTTGCTTAACCTTTGATTAATAGAGTCTTGTGATTCTTTTAAGTTATTAACAATTTGGAGCACTTTCCGTACACCTGGAACTGCCTTCTTACACCCATCACAATACCATATTATGTTTTCACTGATTTTAGATTTTGTTAATTCCTTATAAAAGCTTGACGACAAACCTGAGCAACTAATACAGTACCATCCATCACACAGTTCACATTAAATACCATCATTGATGACTTCAATTTTACATATTGAACAGGAATTTTCATCAGCTATGCTATAACTATGATCATGTGACTTGTGCAAATCTTCCGAATTTACATCAGATAATTTACTTTTCTCATTTGTAGATTGAACACTTGTGGCAGACTAATATTAGCAGTCTTATTTGAAACTAGTCCTTTTCTTCTACCTGCCATAATTGATATATTAACTTCAAAATAGAATTTTTATTTCAAAAATAATTGGCGGCCATTTTAAACTTGAGCAGACGAACCATGTGCTCTTGAAGTCTTTTTCAGATTAAACAATGATAAAGATAAATTCACAACAATTGTTTGATTAGTACGTAGAGTGATAGCTCAAAAACTCATTTAGGGGTGTCAGTTAGTAGGGAGGGGGTTATTTAAACTTAGAACAATTTAATTTTAACAGATAACATTTTGTGTATATTGGGTAATTACCCCTCGTTTTGTGATCTATTGGGTTTTTAGCTCACCTGTCACAAAGTGACAGGGTGAGCTTTTGTGATCGCTTTTCGTCTGGCGACCGTCCGTCCGTCGTCCGTCCGTCGTCCCTAAACTTTTACTTTAAATGACATCTCCACATAAACCACTAAGCCAATTTCATCCAAACTTCACAGGAATGTTCCTTTGGTGGTCACCTTTGAAAATTGTTCAAAGAATTTAATTCCATGCAGAACTCTGGTTGCCATGGCAACCAAAAAAAAACCTTAAAATATCTTCTTCTAAAAAACCCGATTCTTGTCAAAACGTTTCTTCATTGAAACACCGATATCAGTTTTTAATCGAGAAATAAGGGTGTTGTCACCGTCACCTTCCAAGTATTCCACTGGAATACCTTCAGCTAAAAGTTCCTTAACCCCTTTCACACCACTTGTTGCTTCCATAGCTCTTGCACTGCCCCTATGATTTCTGACACATGCATGAGGACGTACTTTCTGGCCCGGCCTTTTGCGTCTCCACCAATTACAAACACCAGAGGTCCGATGGCTAACTATTGTTTTAACAACTTTCTTTGGCTGTCTGGATTTCCCAGTGGTCATGAAGAAAGTGTGAGCTGTCAGAAATGACAAAATATACAATAAACAACAAACACTAAAACATAATTATGAATTGTTGTATATGTAGCTAAAAATTGGGTATTTAAAATTAATGTATCAAAATTGTATTACCTCTAGACACTGGATGCAAAATATTTATTTCCTACATTAAACCACATATACTCATAAGACCCTGCCATCACTTCTGTCTATAGCACATACATGTATGCAATATCAGGGAAAAACAAAAACAGTTTCTAAAATAAATTAACTTACAGGTAAGAGAATCAAATCCTCGCTTGTGCCAGGCCGTGTCAACAGCAACAGACATTCCACTTCTTGTCTGACAAGGGTATTTTGGAAGTAGTCTTACTTTTGCTTTCTTTATTTGTTGATGTGTTTTGCTATCAGATTGAGGAGTCAGAACTTGGACTGGCAGTGGCTTTCTGGTATCTGTAGGTGTGCTATAATTGAACCAAGCCAGCATTTAAATGAAGCATCTCGGCATCAAAATATATACACTATGAATAAAAAAGAATTAACTATAAATATATAACAGTGTTTTTGTTTATATGACATAAGGACTGCAAAAGTAACAGTGTCTAGCATTAACCCTGTTGTAGTAAAATTGCTTCAGTAACACAACATTAAAATATAATTTCATTGACATTCTGTATCATTTTGTTTTGGTACATCATAATTGTTATAGTTGCCATCATTGGAAAAAAATATTTTTGTGAAGTAAGCTTTTTATACATGAATCAAATTTGATATACAGAAACTATCTACTTTAATAATCAGCCCGTACCTGAAAGCATTACATGATAATGGTGTCTCAACAGACAGACTGACATCATTTCCTGTACAGTTCAAGTCATCATCCTCACTTGGTCTACTTTCATCATCAGTATTATCTTCATTTGGTCTGATTGTCTTTCTTTTGATAGAGACACAAAAAATATTGCTCTGATAACTTCTGGAAAATTCTTTGGAAATAAATGGATTTATTCTGCAAAATTTATATGGATGTGTGTAGAATTTAAAGAGGAATTGTAATATGTAAATGAATTAATTGCAAAAAGACTCACAAAAAAGTTATTTTGCTTAAAAAAGTGAAAATCATAAATTATCATTATTTCATTTTGGATAAAAGCTTATAATTGACATACCACATGTGATTACAGAACAATACATAGGATTTCTTTATAAAAACTTGAAAAGGATTATTTCTATATCTTGGATATATATTATACAGGATTAATGTTCATAACACCTGAGATCTCAAACTAATTGATAAACATATTGTGCTAAAACAACTTCAGTTATTTAATAGACTTAAGTGCATACAAAAATTTGTAAAAATGGCTTTCAATCATTCATCAATAGATACAGAGGATTTTGAAGGATTTTCTTACAATGACTTATCTGGTAACTTTACAATGAACAATCAGTATGATATATATGTAAGCCCAACATGTGACAATATCCGTTTTACCTTTTTTGAAGAAAAAACACATTCAAAAATGCAACAAATTCTTTAATCCATGTACCAATTAGTGCCAACAAAGGACAATACAGGACTTACAACAACTTTAACCATATTAGACAAGAAAGTTGTTATCACAATATATCACAATACTATGACAATGTTGATCCAGGGAACTGGCCGCAAAATCTGGCTAGATACATTCCTTGAGAAGATCAGACAAGACATGAAACAGCTTCAATGCAATATCAGTCAGCACAATCAATTCGGACGACAGTTTCCAACCAAATCAACACCCAATGATACAGGCTTAAAGCAGCACTTATTCAACATCACAACATCTCCAATTATGTCCTCCACTCCATCAGCGCTAAAAAAGCCAAAATCTACTAGCATCCTAAGCTCTGTATCAAAGAAAATCTTTGGGCCACCTATAAAAAGTGGTTTTGTAAAGCTTGGCAAAGAATTAAAAAAAGCTGAAAAATCTGCAAATAAAGGTGGATTTCAAGTAGATTATGAGGAATTTCATAGACAGTATTCTGTAATTCAAGAAACTGGTAAAAAACCCAAACAAAAACTTCATAGAATGGGACAAACAAAAACTAATCAGCCTATTAACTCTATGAGGACAAAAACTGATGAAGAAACTAGACCAAAGTTTGTGTTAGAGGAAATTGATATTACAACTACCTCTGAGCAAACAGTGCCAAAACAGATCTTAAATACAACCAGCCATGAACACACTTTCACAACAGCTGATCCTAAAGTTCTCTCTGAACAGAGTTCAGAGCAATCAATTATATCTTTAAAGCAAAATGAAGATGTTGAAACCAATCAGGATACACATTCACAATTATATTTTTCAAGTAAACCAGCAAATGATGAAACTGATCACCTGATGCTCAACATTATAAAATGTGATGTAGCTGTGCAGTGTACAAGTGATGATAAAGATACAAATAAGTACACGGAATGCCTGGAAATAAACAAAAAACTAAAATCAGAAAACGAAAAACTCCAGACTCTAAACAAACAATTAATCAGTAAGTGCACAGAAAAGGCTAAAGCAGAGAACAATGAATTAACTGGACAATTGCTGGTACTTCAAGAAGAAATACAAGCCCTCAAACAAACAAACAAAACATTGAAACAAGAAAACAAAGTCCTTAGAGGAAAGTTGTCATCACAACAAACTGAAAAGGAAAATACTGATGCCCTGCAAAATGATGTGTCAGAAATAAAAGAAAAACTTTCAAATTTTTCAATAACGCTGAACAAGGTTTTGAAAAGGACAGAAAATATGCCGTCAAGTACAGACATCTACTTCCTTCAGGCTGAAATGAGAAATAACAAAAATAATCAGCATCAAACATCATCCATACCAAGTCCTGGCCTTAGTCACTTTGGAAACCAAATGTGTAGCCTCGATAAATAAAGCCTTTACTTACTTACTTACTTACTATTTGCATTCATGTTATCATGAAACGACATCCTGTTTTGAAAACAAATATAAACTATAAAAAAACTGAAATAGTGCTCACTCTTGAAATGTAATGATTAATTGAAATATCATGCATGAATTGCCTTTTTATACATGTATGTGCACACAAAAATGCAAACAACAATTACTTATAATGCACTATACATTGTAGGGTAAAAATGTGATTATGTTTAAACTTGTATGAAAACTCAACTGACATGGTATGAGTATTCTTATCAAACTATCATGTTCATGTACTGGCTTATAATCTGTGGTTATATATAAACACTTAATAACGGTTACACGACTTACCGGAATCGGCCGAATTACCGGAATCGACCGGAATCGGCGGTGAACCTTTTGCTTCTTTTCAATAAACATTATAAAAATCTTTTAAATTGTTTGTATTTAATAAAATAAGTCAAGGTTATTTTTCAAACGTTGAAATATTGGTGGGGAAAAACAGACCGATTCCGGTAATTGTCCGATAGCCCTGGCACTGCATACAATTATGCGATATGGCAGTAATTCGCCGACCTTAGATCTCTAGTTTATTATTTAATAAGGATTCTTCATTTACAGAAATCTTTTTAGATATCTGTTATATTGTTTGCATTTTTTTCTTGCAAAGTCCATAAATTACAATAATACAGGCCGATTCCGGTAATCATTCGCCCTATTTCGGCTGTATGACATAATATGTAACTCGCCGATCTTCGATCTCTTGCTTTATTAACCAAAGGCGAATTGAAATTTACAAAATAAAAGAAAGAAAGAAACTTTTAAATATCTTTCATAATATTTATATTTTATAAGATGAATATTAACAATGCAACAAAAACGTTAAAAAGTACAATAGACTAAATTATACGTCGATTCCGGTAATCCTTCGCCGATTCCGACAGTATGGCAGTAACTCGCCGATATTAAATATCTTGTTTAATTAATAAAAAGTGATTTTATTGACAATAATCTGATTACATATCATTGCTATTGTTTATTTATAATCAAGGGTGCAAACATTTTGTTTAAAGTATATAGATAAGCAAATTACAGGCCGATTTCGGTAATCCTTTGCCGATTCCGGCAGTTTGCCCGTTTTCGCTGATCATAAATATTTGTTTATTATTATCATTATTTAAAAGCGATTTTTTTTCACAATCTCTAGGAAGATAAATGATAATATTTAGGTTTTATAAAAACATGCAAAAGGAACATTAAAAGTTGCATAAACAACGAAATAACAGGCCGATTCCGGTCACGGGCAGTTTGGCAGTAGCTCGCCGATATTACATATTATATGTAGATCTCTTGATAAATTAATCAAAAGGTATTTTATTTATAAAAATCTTTTCATAAATCATTGATATTGTTTATATCTTATAAAATTGCAAGAAAAAACTTAAAAAGTTTAATTATTACAAAGTTGCAGGTCGATTCCGGTAATTCACCGCCGATTCCAGTCGATTCCGGTAATTCGGCCGATTCCGGTAAGTCGTGTAACCCCTTAATAATATTGACTCATAGAATCCTGATATGTGTTGTAACTTGCATTTTTTTTTAAAAATAACAATTAAAAATATATATACTAACAATAACTAAAAATAATAATGATAATAATAAATATAACTGAATATTTATCACAGCAGAAAATATATACAAGTAAGTTAGTTGACGACTTTAGGCATAAAGCACACTATATATCTATACATATTGAAAATAATAATTAATGCTTTCTTTTTTAAAATAATTTGGTTTTATATAAAAAGATTTTTCATACATCAGTGCAGGTGATGTATCTGGCATTGGACAGACACCCAATTCTTCCACCAAACCACTCATGCTGGCCTGTACTTCAAGTGACTCCTTCTCAGCGACAGACCTATAATGTGTACAGAATTTTATAATTTTATTCATATTAAGACTTTGTAACTATTTACCATAATTAATACACATCCCACTAAGTTTAATATGTTAAATTAAGAAGAAAAAAAGATCTATATAGCTATAAACAAATACAAAGTAAAATCAGACTAATGTTTACCTGAATAAAAAAAAGTATTGTAATTTACAAGTAAAAATATATCAGATTCAAACACAAACTCACTCCATTTCAAGCCTATATGCCTCATCAGCTGCAGCGTTGGCCGACTCTGTTGAAACTTTCTCTAAAACAACACCTGCCCTCTTTTCCATCTTTTTCAAATTAGTCTCAGAGACTGTTTTCAGATTCAATGTTGCCAACATGTTGTTAACACGCCTTGGTCCACCTAGACTATCAATCATGGCTGAAAAGAGAGTGGTAGATAAAATCAATTATCTGTAATAATGTGAATCATGAAACATATATTTTCAAAAAGCTATAAAAATTCAAAAGTCATGGGTTTATTTTACATCAAATATCAATTTGACAAAGTGAAACTCTATGTGCACCTTTCCCTTCAAATTTGTCTGTGTTAAATCAGGGTTTTTCTTTTCTTATATGACTAATACCGGAAAACGGCACTGTTCCCAAAAGAAGCAAATTTCCCAGTTCATGACTGATAAATTCCCTAAATAAAACTGATTTTTGTACTCAGTTTATTTCGTACTTTGAGTGTTTCACACCTAAACATTATTTTTTGTACTCGGTTCATTTCGTACTTTAAGTGTTTCACACCTAGACATCTTTTAATATGTAAAATTGTATTATGCATATTTTTTTGTCTCCATGGATAAAAAGTTCCCAATGAATAATGTGCAAAATTCCCAATTTGAGTCAAACCTAAGCATTTTTCCAAATTCATCCAGTACCGGCATCATTTCCAAAGCAAGGGAAAAAAACACTGTTACAATTAAGAAAATAATTAAACGGGTAAATGTAACAGGACTGGCAAGGGAGTATTTAAGAAATGTTTTGTCTTGTGGCACTGAGTTTATTTAGTATTTAACCAGTGAACAAATTCTTTCAGTTTATTAACCAACTACATACCTGTTCCAAGCTTGGTGTTCACAACAAAGCATGGCATTCCTTGATTCTTGGATGTTCTATGTGTTTTTCCATAGGCTGCAGAATTCACAAAACAGCAATTTTGACATTCGACATATAAATAACCAGACAGACCTTTTTGAAGTTCGCCTCTTATTGTGTTGACTGACAGTGTTACTGGCCCTAAGCGACAGTTTTTACAGTACCGTAAATTTTCAAACAGAACCTCCCATAATAATTTCCACCAATCTTCTTCCAAGTTTCCAAGATTCTCCTTCAACTGTTCAATACATCTAATCTCTGGTTCAGAATCAGACTTAACACAATAATCGTGGTTGTTTTGCACTTTCTTCTGCTGCCATGCTGTATAATTTCTCTTTGTGAATTGGCCTTTCTTATTTCTTTCCATTGTTTTCGATAGAACGTTGGTCGCGGAAACTAGTTACTTCCGGTTGACTTTTTTCATATTTTTTTAAAAATCTTTTAATATATTGAGAAATTTGCGCTAAATATATTGGTAATATGAAAAAGGCAAAGCCTCAAAGCGAGCTCTATGTACTTTTTACGTGAAATAGTATGACATAATCCAAATGCAGTAACGAGTGCGTGTGACGTCACACGTACTGTGTTAAATATGGCTCCGCCCCTGTCGTGAAATGAATAACGTGTTTTGAAAACGTTGATAAAACTTTGTTTATTTTATTTCACTCTATAATTTTTCAAGCGAAATAAAGATTATTTAAAGTGAAATAAATGTAAAACTTAAAACGTTTGCTACATTAAAATAGCGTACTTGATTTGTTTGTTTTGCACGTGCTGTTTGGCGCTACATTGTGACGTCACATAAACAATACTTTAAACGTATGTACAGCGTTAACGACTGAATAAAAGATATTGGTGTTCGGATTCATTTTCTTAGTTAGACCATTTTCTTTCATTCTAGATAGTTTTCACAACAAAATTCGACAAAAAATTGTTTTTATTTATCAGATTTTACTATATTAAAGAATAATCTCCGGGATTAGACCTTTGTATATTTCAGAAAAAAAAACTTGTATATAATACAGAAAATTAAATAACGTAAAATAGAACCCGGCGTCTATTCCATAATGCCTTTTAATGGCATTTCCATTAGGCGGTGATGAATGGACTGTTCGGAGTGTTTCCTAACTTATTAAGATTTCAAATTTAATTGTAGATCTACTAAATGTATACTTCTAAATGAATTAAATTAGTGTATTTAATTATTTATGCTAAGTGAATATTACCTTAATTTACAGTAAGAAAGAAGAAATCGGCTTGACAGGTGTTTCAATGTTTGTAAACAAATGCAGACGACGAGTGCGTGTGACGTCACGCGTACTGTGTTAATGGCTCCGCCCATTTATTTTTTTTTTCGTTTTTTTTTTCTTTCTTTATTATTTTTTAGTTTGTTGGAAAAAAGAGAAGGTAAATGTACATTAAATGAAATTAGGCAAAACCTACGCACCGGAAAAAGCGGTTGAAATAAACGTTCAATTTTCATTTTTCGATATTTTACGTAGCTTCCGTTATTCTGGTACCCTGTCCAATTATGATTTCCTTAGAAGTGTGCGGGTGACCAGTCTACACATCCGTTTTCAGTCAGAATTCCTCAGTCTTTATCGTTTTCTTGCAATTCGAAAAGTTGCGATGTGTCGAATTCGGTACTTTGGACGAAAGTTTTCAAAACCATCACTTAGTAGGTACTCGCGTTACCGTAAAGCTCGCTTTGCGAGCAGGCCCTTCGGGCCAGCTCGTCGAGCTCGCTATTACTTCAAATAATGATAGATTTTACACAATATATAATATGAAATTAGGTGCTACCTATGGCGCGGAAAGTAATGTAGATATTCATGTTAATTATGCAGTATCAAAGAAATTATCTAACTGAATTATATTGATAATGTTCAACACTACCTCTGATCAAAATTATGTGATTTTTAGAATTTTTGTTTCATTTTTAAATATTCTGGTGTTTAAAGATAATAAACCTTGAAAATTGAATTATACTTTTTTTGTTTAAGAAATGTTTCCGGTGGTTAGAGACTGACATGTCCCACACTTCAGAACATTTATCAACATTTAAAAAATTAAAGAAAAAAAAACAACAAAAAAAACATGAACAGAACAGAACAGAACAGAAATTTTATTTCGTAACGTATACAATACAGTATCTTGTTACATTACATATATCAAATATTATAAATAGACATGTATATATATATAGTAAACAAATACATGTATATATTTTGAATATTTACATTATCTAACACAATGTGATGGTAATAATGAAAAACTCCTTTCATTCTGTCCGTTTTAAAGGTGTCATTCGGTATTACATGCACCGCTTCCGTTTTCACTCGGAATACTCGACGATTATCATTTATCCGAAAAGTTGAGATTTGTTCCGTTATCGGAATACCCCGCCTATTATCATTAAGTTACATTGTAAATGGCGGCGCCCGACTAAAGTGACACTGAAAATTTTATTGATAGGTATAGAATTCTATATATTTTTTAATTGTTTTTTATTTGATTTACTTTTAAATATACACGTGTAGTCAATAGCCGGGCAAGCCAAAGCCCGGACCCGCTTTGCGGGCCCGGTCTTTGACTTCCCCGTTTAATTATTGAATATAGCTAGTATTTATATATAGCTGGTATTTAATAACGATAGATTTATACTTTTTAATTAAATGTTTCTGTTGATTAGAGACTGACATGTCCCACACTACAGAATATTTATTAACATTAAAAGACGTTCAGTTATGTAAGCAAATTTAAATTGAAATTTTGATGATTGTCCTTATGTATTTAAGTACTGTGTAACAGGAATGTTTTTTATTGTTTAAAGTCCCAAGACCTTAAATCATTTTATACAGAATGACAAAGAAATGTGAACCATTTCTCTTTAGATGTTCATCTGCATGAACACCATCATACAAATTTTTATATGATACGCCCTCTTGAGTCAGTTGCAAATATCAGATGATTCATCTGTGAAAAGAACAAAAACAGAAAAAGTTTTTCACTGTTTCATGTGAAAAAAAACTACATAGTTTAAATATATTAAAATGTATTTATATGACAATTAATATTTAAAGAAAATTTGACAAACTATTAACCAATTCCAAGAACTGTGATCAATAAATGTTAAAAGTATTGATTACAAATGTGAATAATTGATGATAAAATTTAGCTTAATAATCATAAAAGAAATATGCAATATGAATTAATAACATGAATGTTTGAATTACATATATATATACATGTGATTAAAGTAATAAAAGCATGCTAGTAAGAAAAAATACATTGATAATATTCAAAATGAGCAACATATGGGTAGGACTTTTAAATTCTTATTATTAGTGTCTAAATAAATAGTTGATATACAGTTTTGTAGCTATTCATGGTGTTAAATTCTAAATCTAGACAGATTCTGTTAATCAGTGGTGAAATGTCATGATGACATTTAATGTCATGGAATATTTTGAAAAGAAACATAGAAATAATAAACATGTCATCAATTAAAAAAATCATTATGACAAAAAATGTTGAGAGGAAGATGTAGACGCAATGATGAAAATATGTTTAATGTAGATTTAGAAAAATACATGAATACTAGTAATTGAATGTATTGGTGAAAGTACATATACAATTGTAAGTTTATTTTATGTGATATTTATATTTGTGAAAGTGTATCAGTTAGTGGTTGACATACCACCCACCAAAAATCTTCTGTTATTAGTCCCTTTTAAATTATCTAGTTTTGTCCATAGATGCTTGTAAGAAACAGTTGTTTAATTGAAAAATAATTGAATGTGATGAAATGTGTTGTTGGAGATATAATGGAAAGTATATTTTCTCTGATATTTATATTTGTGAAAGTGTATCAGTTAGTGGTTGACAGTGTTGTTCAGACAATAATTATGGTCATTGTAATTATCATTCTGCATATGTAAATGCTCAGATTGATTTGGAGAGAGTAAATATACCTGTGTAGAAGCCTGTTAATCATTATTTACTTCTGTACAATAATTGTTTTCTTGGTATATTTCATTTGAACGTTTAACTTTTTTTGTTTGAAGTTCTTGGAATTGATTTCCTACAATATTGTTGTCCAGCCAATAATTATGCTTGTTGAAAATAGATATAGTTATTTACCAGTATGCTTGCTGAATGTAGACAATTATTAAGTGTGAAAATAATGCATAAGATCTGGTAGAGTCTATATAATTTTTATGAATTTTTTTTCTTCAGAAAAATCAATTGAAATCAAGTGAAAATATGCTTGGAATTTCACTTAAACATATTTAGAACTGGTATAGTTGTATACATGTAGTATAGTCCAGTAGGACTAGCTCAAGTTATTGCATAAACTTGCATAAGTAACTTAATTAAAAATGTTAAAATATATTTAAATGTACAAAAAGAAACATGTAAAATTTGTGGTAGTCCAAATATGCAAAAGTAAATATAATTCTAGGACTTTAAATAGGAAAATGTAATTATGCCAAAATAGTACCGTTCAGCCTGTTGAGACGACAGCGATAAAAAAGCAGACGACTGGGCCGTTTAATGATAAAAAATCAGTGTAGTTTACACGCTTTTCGGAATGAAAATCAAAAAAGCGCCCGCTATTCATAACATTTAAACCAGTCTAAATATTCAGCCATTGAGGCGCTTGTTAAGCGTTTTACAAGAGGCGCTTGTCAAGCGTTTTACAACATAGATTTCAAAATGGCGGCGCCCGCTAACTAAGGATTTTTTCGCAGCTCATTAGGTTTGGGATATATATTTTTTTGAATTTTTCATTAACTTTTAATTTGATTTCTTTTGAATTGTTACGCGTCATACATGTTATCTAAGAGCGCTACAGCCCTCGCGGGGCCTTCGGCCCCGCTCGGACTTTCCGCGTATAAAAATACGTAACGCAAATAAATTTCAATATTTTTTCCGAAAGTCACAGACTTACCCGACATCGACCGATCTTTTTAAATTATGGCGGGAAATTATTAGAGTCGCACTACCTTAAGCCCCTTACGTTGTTTCAGTGAAATACCAGCGTGCACAGTACTGGGTACCAACTTATTGACGTGATGTCGTAAATTCGTGTAAGTTCATTACTGAATTTATTGCACTCGTTAAATAAAATAATATTATGCTCGCCAAAGGCTCGCATAATATAATTTTATTCAACTCGTGCAATAAATTCAGTATTGAACTTACACTCATTCAATATCCTCTATAAATGTCTTTTTAGAACGTTTCTTTGCATGTAATAAAAAGAAAATTTGTTTAGTTTAGTGTAAGATCGAAATATATTTCACCTTGTGAACACCAAAAGTTCATATTTCACTCGTGGCTGCGCCACTCGTGAAATATACCTTTTGGTGCTCACTCGGTGAAATATATTCCGATCTTACACTGAACTAAACAAATATCCTCTATTTATTACACCACTTCAGTAATTCAGTTAATATCTTTAATGATTTACTTCTTCATATTACTACTTAATTAGGACAAACATTGTTTTCTTTTACGTTGTGCTGATTTTCCAAAATTGTCTCCGTTGCGCCATGAAATTTCCATTTCGCCAGGCATATAATTATAATCCTTCAGTGTAAACATATACAATTTATGAAACATTTTAAAACATACTTACTTAATAGTGCTAAACAATCATTTTAGATGCTCAAATATAGCTTATTGACTTAAAAAAAGGCGTTGTGTCGGTTTTTCTAAAACAAATATCTCCGTTGCGCCATGAAATTTCCATTTCGCCAGGCATATAACCCTTCAGTGCAATTAAACATATACAATGTATGGAAACTTTTTAAAACATACTGACTTAATAGTGCTAAACAATCATTTTAGATGCTTAAATATAGCACATTGACTTTAAAAAAAGGCGTTGTGCCAGTTTTTGCTAAAAAAAATATCTCCGTTGCGCCAAAAAAATCTCTCTGTTGCGTATTTTCAGTGGTACCCACCAATTTGCATTGTAGACTGTTGTAGTAATAAAAAAAACTACTTACTTATTCAATAAACCACGCATAAAGCATAAGTTAAGTCATTATTTTAACTATGCTTTATGGTTTATTGGCTTAGTGAGATTTCCAGCTGCCTCAGCCTATAATTTAAAGGTTAAAAAGTCTGCAGTAATGATCCTGCCTGAATGTATTTTGGTTTAAGTAAATAATTTTACGTCCACTTACAAACACCAAGTTTCCCAAAATGTAGTTTGGATAAGGAAAGAAATTTATTTACTTTTTTCTTTTTACCCTTAGTTTATTATTTCTATTGCGGGTTTTTTGGAACAATTTTAATTGGGTAATAAACAAATACGCATGGGTTATCTGGGCAGCCCTGGTGGAAACCCAAACTCAACGTAAACAATAAACTATATTTGATATAACAAATTTTTTAAATCAAACGTCAACAAACCTCAATGTTATAATTGTCCATTTTCAAGACCGATGGTATTGTTTTTAAATATAGCCATTGTGTAAAAGTTTGCTGATCACTTAATGATGTAACTTGCGGGAGCTATTGATAGCAGGGCTTTTTTTTGACAGGTTGGGGAAGCAGCCCTGCCCTTAATGTTGGGGGAAAAATTACACGGTATATTTGCAAAAGGGAAGAAAGAACTTGATGTAAATTCAATTTTGGGGGAAAACTGCATGATTTTAAAGAATTTTTCTTTCGGGAAGCAGCCCTATAACGGTCCCTACTAAAGAAGGATAAAAGGCCCTGAATAGTCCGAATAAACAAGTGCAATGTGCGTAAAATTGTAACCATAGCTCGGCATACAGTACTAAATGGTGCAGGTTTGTTTTTCAAATCAAGTCTTTTTTTTATCTTATGAAGAAGACATATTTGAATAATTTTTTGCTAACATGCTCAAGGTTCAGCAGTGTGTTAACCTCTAACCATACTTGTTGTTGCTGTAATGCATGCTTTCTTTCAGCTTTCTTTCAGCTTGCTATTTGACAGAACAACATACTTGCTTTAGCAATATTAGCTATCTTAGCTGAGTAATTTTCAAATAAGTCGGAAATTACACATAGTCATATAAATTATTGTTATTTTTATTATTTTAATTTTTGAACCAACATGTGAAATTTTAGGAGCACTTTGTAAGGGAGATAATAGGAGCAAGTGTATACCAGCAATGCTGTACTGATGTTCTAGATGATATTTCTACAAATTAGAGGTGATCCATTGACAGATAGTTGTATATATCAGAACAAGTGTGATCCATTGACAGATAGTAAAGTTGTATATATCAGAACAAGTGTGATACATTGACACATAGTTGTATATATCAGAACATGCGTGATCCATTGACAGACAGTTGTATATATCAGAACAAGCGTGATCCATTGACAGATAGTTGTATATATCAGAACAAGTGTGATCCATTGACAGATAGTTGTATATATCAGAACAAGTTTGATCCATTGACTGATAGTTGTATATATCAGAACAAATGTGATCCATTGACAGATAGTTGTATATATCAGAACATGCGTGATCCATTGACAGACAGTTGTATATATCAGAACAAGCGTGATCCATTGACAGATAGTTGTATATATCAGAACAATCGTGATCCATTGACAGATAGTTGTATATATCAGAACAAGTGTGATCCATTGACAGATAGTTGTATATATCAGAAAGTGTGATCCATTGACAGATAGTTGTATATATCAGAACAAGTTGATCCATTGACTGATAGTTGTAATATATCAGAACAAATGTGATCCATTGACAGATAGTTGTATATATCAGAACAAGTGTGATCCATTGACAGATAGTTGTATATATCAGAACAAATGTGATCCATTGACAGATAGTTGTATATATCAGAACAAGTGTGATCCATTGACAGATAGTTGTATATATCAGAACAAGTGTGATCCATTGACAGATAGTTGTATATATCAGAACAAGTTTGATCCATTGACAGATAGTTGTATATATTATATCAGACCAAGAGGAGGCTGAAACTGTCAAGTTCACCTAGAGGAGAAGAGGTGAAAAACTACATACAAACTATTATTATGGATAAATAATGTCAAGAATAGAAAGTGGCTAAAATTGCATGGTGATCTAAATCTTTATTTAGTGATGTGTGTATATATATATATATACAACAACAAAAACAACCACAACTGCCAACACAACCGCAACCACTGTCACCACCACAACTGCAACTGCCAACATAACCGCCACTGCAACTGGCACCACAACCGCAAGCACAACCGACACCACCACCACAACCACCAACACAACCACAACCACCAATGCCACCAAAACCACAACCGCAACCAACACAACCACAACTGCCAACACCACCACCACCACAATGGCAAGTGCCAACAGAACCGCAACCATCACCGCAACCGTGACCACAACTGTGATGACCACCCCAACCACCACCACAACCGCAAGCGCCAACAGAACCCCAACCATTACCGCAACCGCCAGCCCAACCGCACCCGCCACCTCCACCACAATCACAGACGACACCAAAAACATAACAGCAACCGCCACCACAACCGCAACCACAACCTTCAACACAACCACAACGGCAAATGCCACTACAACCGCATAATATACCAAAGATTTCCAACAAACTCCCTGACAGTTATCACAAGAACTCTTTGACAAGTTATCATAAGAACTCCATCCTTCTTGTAACAGTCCCTCCCCCGTGATTTTGTTTAATCGTGATTACGTTATATGATTTATATGCAAATTTTATTCTTACTTTGACAAAAATCAACATTAACAAGACATCAGACGTTTTTTTTTCTGTTTGTTTGTTTTGGGTTTTACGTCGCATCGACACAGTATAGGTAATATCGCGACATGTCAGCTTTACTGGTGGAGGAAGACCTCAGGTGCTCAAAGTAAAAAATTGCCAGTGCTAGCCCTGTGCCCTTCCGTGCATTATTACAGGCACGAACGGGCACCTGAGTAGTACCACCGATGTTCCGTTAGCTAGCTGGATAGCTTCCTCACATGAAAGAATCCAAAGTCCCTGTTGGGATTCGAACCCACAGCAGTGAGGGACATCAGACGTGTAAAATAATTAAAATGGTTCTTACATTTGGGATAAAATTGTAGAAATAAAGTAGGTTTCTATTTGTAGAACTATTTTATGGTATTTTCTTGTTTCATTTCAGGACTTAACTCACCGAAACCACTTCCCTCTCCGGGGATTTAACCCTTTCTACAGCCATTCTGTGGCGATGACGTGAATGTATTCGAGAAAAACAACACCAGGTTGAAATTTTACTAATATAGAGACTTCCTAAACGGATAGTTTTTCCAAATATTAATGAGTTACTTCCCTTTTATATTTATTCTGCCTCCATTTGTAAGTGGACTGGATTTTGTATTATAATGTGATTTTTTACCTGTTGCCTTAATCTTTAAGACAAATTTATTTGAGTGTCAGTGTAAGAGGGAAGTATAAAGGAAATTTGTTTAATTGAGTTTCATTTTGTTTTTTTGCTGTATCTTTAATTTTATCAATTTAAATAATTTAAGCTTTATTCATGATATGATTATCTCCCCTTAATCAAGTCATTGTAGGTACATGTGAACATTTAGATAAATTTTCAGGGAAATAGGGAGATATTAAAATGAATTACATAGTTTAAATTATGTTATATTGTGTGATTTACCACTGGTTTGCATTATTTTTCACCATACTTCTACCGTGTTATTAACGCAGTTAGGGTTATTTTGACCTCTTTTGTTATTAACATGGGTTGTATGTGAAATCTGTTTTCTCAGTTCACTTCACTTAATAAATTTTCAAAATTTCATGAAAATTAGCATAAATCTGCTGCTTTAAAGTGTCTAGGGGGAGAAAAGTTACCTTGTTTTAAGTAGGGGTGTGGATCATCTGATAAGTGACAATCAGATCCGATCCACGATTCAGCACTTAGGATTCACAAATCGAACCACAAATGTTTTATTATCAAGACACCCATAAAAACATGAATATAAGTTCTGAAAACATGTTTATTTTTCTTTAAACAGTACTAAACATTAAACATATATACAAATATACACTAGGTTTAAAGGTTTTTCGAAAAGGAGTCGCGCCGATATAAAAAATTCCACCAGCAAGTTGGTAATACTTAGGTATTTCAATAAAAAAAGGGGAAAAGGCCGTTTGTGAAACATACCACAGTGAGCTGACTGTACAGGCACAACAAATTCATGAACAGACAAATGTTTCCAAACATTGGAAGTAAAATTTGCTGGTGGAATTTTATATTGGCGAAACTCATTTTCAGCCATTGTTGCAGACATCACGCTGACTTAACTTGTGAATTTCGCAAATTTTGGATTATTAAAGATAAAACCTTCTTCGATAGATGTCATGTTATCATAAATCTATATACACCGACTACAAAAAATATTTATTTATTTTCATGTAAACACATAGTGCTCAATAAAGATAAAGTGATTCCTTTTTCGAAACTAATGACTTCATAGCTTAGCATCATGCTATTTGTTTGTTTACTTCCTGTCTTTATTCGGCAAATTGTATTTAAGTAAACATCGCATAATTCATACTAAAATGGTATTTTTTGAGACTTTAATAGTGTGAGAAACAGTGAATTTATATAAACAAATAAGTTGCGATCCACAATCCCTGGCTTGACTGGATTTTTTATTTTGATTTGTGATTATCAGATTACTCGGATACTCGCCCCAGCCCTAGATTTAAGAGGTGTAATTCCAGGGCTTTTTTGTGCCCCCAACTCCATCCATTCCCTTTTTGTGTTGCACATAGCTAAAAAAGTAATTGACCTAGAGTCATGAAACCTTACAGGAATGTTGATCAGCATGTGAAGTTGTGCATCTGGGTATTTTCATGTGCATATATTTAGTATTTTTAGAGTTATTGCCCTTGACTTAGTAAAAATTTGCAATTTTCAACTTGTGTCACACATAACTCAAAAAGTATTTGACCTAAAGTCATGAAACCTTACAAGAATGTTGCTCAGCATGTGTAGTTGTGCCCCTGGGTATTTTTGTGTGGATATTTTTAGTATTTAGTATTTTTAGAGTGATTCCCTTGACTTAGTAAAAATTTACAATATTTAACTTGTGTTGCACATATCTATTTAATTTTGTTTCTCTGTTTGATCTCAATAAAGATAATAATACAAAAATACTATTTAATTGTTTAATTCTTTTATTTGAAAATTTATATTTTTAGATATTGTCATCATTTGCTTGACGCTTGACGCTATTTACAGGCCGGAATTTTTTCTTTGATCTATATTAGTCGTTATGATATTAATGCTGTACTTATTTATTAAATAAATGTAAAAATAAACAAACCGCTATAAAATTAACCAATTAACAGACTTACACACAATTAACATGCTTTTTCATTTATAATATTTTATGCTCAAATAAAATAATTAATGTCATTTCCCATAATTTATACGCTTTTACATTTTTATCTTTGATGAAAATATATAATTAATACAACAAAAAATAAAACAACAAAAAATACATTCATTTTTATGTCGCCTTAAAATGCCTAACTGACTACTAATACTGTTAACAAGGCGACACATCCGACTCGAGTTATAATTTCAAATACAAATGTATTTGTTTTTGTGAATGCAGAATAATTATTTCCGCACATAAAATTATAAAGATGTCAGGGTTTTATTTGTCTAGAGCATAACTCAAAAGCTATTTGGGATATCAACTTGAAACTTCCTAGATAGATAAACATCTTCTAGTTTCTTGCTTAAGAATAATAATTCTGTTACATATAATTGGAGTTATTGCCCTTGCTTATTTATTTTTATTTTTTGCACAGAGCATATCTCAACAAGCAATGGAAACTTAAACTTTATAGATAAGCAAATTTTGAACGAGTGCATAATTCAAGAGAAATAACTCTTTTGCTTAATTTTGAGCAATTTGCCCTTTGCAATTTTTCATACTCAATTTATGCTGAGGTAGAACTAAAAATTATTTCTTTTGAAACTTCAAAGATGGATAGATATTATTACAAAAATGCAGTACACAAGAATCACAACTCTTTTTTGCATAATTTTGGATTAATAACCATTTTAGTGTATTTTTTTTCATTCTTTTTTTTTTACTGTGGCATAATTCAAAAGTTATAAAACTTAATTGGTGGATACATCTCATAAAGAAGTGAAAAAGAACTACTACTTTATTTTGTATAATGTTGGAGTTATTGCTCTTTGTTATTTTTCATACCTAATTATTTTGTCTAGAGCATGTGATGTAATGTTTATAATACCTTATAAAGCAGTATATTTTCTTAATGTTTTATATACATGTATATATTTTTATCATAATAATTGAGAGCATATTTTTATTGTTATATTTCAGGCTGGACACACTGCCGTCACATGTCCACTAAAAGATCAGACAAATGAGAGTGCCAGATGAGTCGCGTGCCAAACAACAACGTCATTTTAACGCACTTTATGAATGAACCGTATAAACACACGACACCAGTGTTAGTGAGAATGCGTTTATTAACGTGAAACGATTTTCTGTACAAAAGAGAATAAAAATAAATCATTACATAAAATACAAAGATAATTATATCAAAACATAAAAATAAACGTACGATCATCAATCAAAACATTTGTATTTACCTCTCACATAAATTAAAACATATTTTACTTCAATAGAGCTCTAATTACAGTACACTTAAATAATCTTATTTAATTATAAGATACATTCAATAAAATCCTAATATAAATTATCATTTTTAAACAAATAAATAAACATACCAACTATTGCGGCGTTTTAAATGTATCGTCCTGATGCTTATAAACTGTATGAACGTTTTAAATTTGTTTTGATCATTGCATTTCCGCTTAGATAAAAATATGACATAACGCGGCGTCTTAAGCGGCGCCAAACGTTAACGTTAGATTTGGAAACAAAAATATCAGTAAATAAGAAAACGATATTATGTGAATTAAATAGACGTAAGAAAGAGAAAAATGTAACTATGTAACAAAAATATAATGTTAAATCTTAATAAATTCAAAGAAGAATTTAATAAACCGCTTTTAAATGATGTCGTTTTAGAAGGGAAATATGTGCTTAGGATGACGTCATTTCGCCGTTGTTATTTAAGTTGTGAGTTCATACGCTATTGTAAGAAAATAGTTATTGATGAAATGACTTTGATTTCCATGAACATATATCATATTGAGGTAAACCATTTTAAATATGTAATAATATGGCAGAATATGCAAGAAAAAATATCTGACATATGTTTGCGGTTCTGATCGAAATATCTGTCCCTCAGGAACCCGCCCATGGGCGGTAACTCGGCAAGCCTCGTGACCACCCAATGGGCGGGTCCCCTTGGGACAGATATTCCGGTCCGAACAGCAACATATGACAGATATTATTAATATGTGTCTTAAAGGGACTCCACTGAGGTTTTTGATATGAGGAGGCTGAAAATACTTTTTCAAGATTAATTTTCCATTTGACGAAGGTCTAGACAGATAATTTATATCATTTTCTCATTCTGTTTTTCCAAAATATTAAATTATTCTTATTGTGCAAAATAACTCAAATTAAAAAGTGACGCAATGCTTTTCACTCATATTGTGCTGTGAATAGCCCGAAAATACAATAATTTATTTCTTTATATAATTTTATTTATCTTTTACAATATATTTTCAGTTTGCCAAGCTTTCTACTGTATATAAGAAATTCAGATTTTCTGGTTTTAGGTTTTTTGGACCTCAGTTGAGTTTCTTTAAGATTACAATTTGACTATCACTGATACTGGAATTATTGTAATCATATTTAGTAACTTTCATTCATACAGGACCTGGTAGAGAGAGCAATTATTGAGATACAGGAAAGTCGGTAACCAGTTCTTGTTTGTCTCTCTGAAGACATTTATTTCCCTGGCATTCATACAGGACCTGGTAGAGAGAGCAATTATTGAGATACAGGTTGGGAAGCCGGTAACCAGTCCAGGAACTTTCATTCATTCAGGACCTGGTAGAGATAGCAATTATTGAGATACAGGTTGGGAAGCCGGTAACCAGTCCAGGAACTTTCATCCATACAGGACCTGGTAGAGAGAGCAATTATTGAGATACAGGTTGGAAAGCCGGTAACCAGTCCAGGAACTTTTCTACACAGAATGCCATATCCTTGTTGGCTGTGGGATGCGTGAGTTGTCTCCCTTGATACTCTGTTATTGTTGGAATTCAATATTTTGATAATTACATTGAAGCTACATTAATCAATAAAAATGTTTTAATCTATCTTAGACCTTCTAAAATGTTTTGGACAATTCAATTTATAACAATGAAAACATTAATTTAGTAATTTATAAGTGTTTTAGTAAAAACTTGTACTTGTTATAAAAATGAATGATGAGTAAAAGTGATTGTTGCTATTATTATGTTAATAAGACATTTATAACTTCACCTCCATAAGTAAAGCTTATTTTGTGAAGGGTTTGTTATCTCCTAATGAAATTGATGTAATTAAGGCACTTGTTACCTCCCCTTATAAAATGTGTTAATTATGACAATAAATGTTTGATTTCAGATTTATCTGGCTAATACAACATATTTTTTCCGCTATGTTTGAAGTTGTCATAGGTTTATTCAGTAGCCATGTTGGAACAGAAAATTGTCTTTGAAAAGGAGAAGAGATTTAAAGAGGTTTGAAATTTTAAATTTTTGTTAACTTATTTTACCTCTTTTATTTTTGTGTCGCCTTGAAAAGGTGACATATAGGGGTTACTTTTCGGCGGCGTCTGTGTCGGCGTCGTCGTCGTCATTGTCGGCGTCAGTGTCCCCTAAAGCTTGTCCGGAGCATAACTCAGTCACTATAAGTCTGATTGACTTCAAACTTGGTATGCATGCTTCTTTCAATAACCCGGAGTGCAGTGCACAAGGACCGGTACTCTGCAGTTCTTATTTTTTGAGTTATTGCCCTTTGTTAATTTTCATACTTTAATTTTGTCCGGGCCATTTCTCTTCAACTAAAAAAGCTATGGACTTGAAACTTCATAGGATGATAGATCTCATTAAGAAGAAGTGCAGTGCACAAGAACCGGTACTCTGCACTTCCTAATTTTTGAGTTATTGCCCTTTGTTAATTTTATACTTTAATTTTGTCCTGGCCATTTCTCCTTAAGAATAAAAGCTATGGACTTGAAACTTCATAGGATGATAGATCTCATTAAGAAGAAGTGCAGTGCACAAGAATCGGTACTTTGCATTTCTTAATTTTTGAGTTATGGCCCTTTGTTATTTTTCATACTTAATTTTTGTCCAGGCCATTTCTCCGAAAGTATAAAAGTTATGGACTTGAAACTTCATAGGATGATAGATCTCATGAAGAAAAAGTGCAGTGCATAAGAACTGATACTCGGGATTTCTTATTTTTTGAATTATTGCCCTTTGTTGATTTTCTTACTTTATTTTTGTCCTGGTCATTTCTCCACAAGTATGAAAGCTATGGACTTGAAACATCATAGAATGATAGATCTTATTGATAAGAAGTGCAGTGCACAGAAACTGCTGCTCTGCACTTATTATTTTTTTAGTTATTGCTATTTTTCATATTTCATTTTTGTCCTGGCTATTTCTCCTAAACTACATTGTTCACAAGGCGACACATCCGACTCGCGGAGTTCTAGTTTGCCTTTTTAGCTCACCTGTCACAAAGTGACAGGGTGAGCTTTTGTGATCGCTTTTCGTCCTGTGTCCGTCCGTCGTCCGTCCGTCGTCTGTCCGTCCGTAAACTTTTACTTGAAATGACATCTCCTCATAAACCACTAAGCCAATTTCATCCAAACTTCACAGGAATGTTCCTTTGGTGGTCCCCTTTAAAAATTGTTCAAAGAATTTAATTCCATGCAGAACTCTGGTTGCCATGGCAACCGAAAGAAAAAACTTTAAATATCTTCTCTTTTAAAAAATCCTAAGAGCTAGAGCTTAGATATTTGGCATGAAACATCTTCTAGTGGGTGTCTACCAAGTTTGTTCAAATTAAATCCCTGGTGTCAAAATTGGTTCCGCCCCGGGGCGTCATTGTTTTTCCCTATATGTAAATAGTAAAAACTGAAAAAATCTTCTTTTGAAGAACCCAAAGAGCTAGAGCTAAGATATTTAGCATGAAACATTTTCTAATGGGTGTCTACCAAGTTTGTTCAAATAAAAGCCCTAGGGTCAAAATGGCCCCGCCCCGGGGGGGGGTCATTGATTTTCCCTATATGCATATAGTAAAAACTTAAAAAATCTTCTTTTGAAGAATCCAAAGAGCTAGAGCTAAGATATTCAGCATGAAACATGTTCTAATGAGTGTCTACCAAGTTTGTTCAAATAAAAGCTCTGAGGTCAAAATTGGCCTCGCCCCAGGGGGTCATTGATTTTCCCTATATGCATATAGTAAAAACTTAAAAAATCTTCTTGTAAAGAACTCAAAGAGCCAGAGCTAAGATATTTAGCATGAAACATGTTCTAATGGGTGTCTACCAAGTTTGTTCAAATAAAAGCCCTGGGGTCAAAATAAGCCCGCCCCGGGAGTCATTGATTTTCCTTATATGTGTATAGCAAAACTTACAAAAGCTTCTTTGAAAAAACCCAAATAGCTACAGTTTAGATATGAGGCATGAAACATCTTCTAGTGAGTGTTTACAAAGTTTTTTCAAATAAAAGCCTTTGGGTCAAATTGGCCCCGCCCTGGGGGGGGTCATTGATTTTTCCTATTTGCATATAGTAAAAATTTAAAAAATCTTCTTTGAAAAAACCCAAATAGCTAGAGTTTAGATATTAAGCATGAATCATCTTCTAGTAAGTGTCTACAAAGTTTGTTGGAATAAAAGCCCTGAATCAAAACTGGCCCCGCCCCAGGGGTGTCATTGTTTTTAACTATATGTGTATAGTAAAAACTTAAAAATCTTCTTTTAAAAAACCCAATGAGCTAGAGCTTAGATGATTAGCATGAAATATCTTCTTATGGATGTCTACCAAGTTTGTTCAAATAAAAGCCCTCGGGAGAAAATTGGCCCTGCCAGAAAGGGGGGGGAGGAGAGATCATTGTTTTTCATTATATGTGTGTAGTAAAACCTTAACATTGTGAAATAAAAACTTAAAAACTTAACATTGTGAAACATCTTCTAAGTGTCTTACAAGTTTGTTCAAATAAAAGCCCTGGGTTTAAACTGGCCCCGCTCCGGGGCCCTATATACAGGTGAGCAACCTCAGGGCCATCATGGCCCTCTTGTTTATTTGTTTTTAAATGACTTTTGTTTGCATGCTTGATATTTCTTGTTGATTTTCCTTCAAATGGTTTTTAAGTTGTTTTTTTTTTGGTTTCCATGAAATATTTTACAAGCATTTATGAATGTATATTTATTATAGTGTACCGCCTCCGTGGTCGAGGGGTTAGGGTTGATGACTTCTAATCCAGTTACCTCTCTGGCGTGGGTTCGATCCCCGGGAGATGCTTTGGTAGTTTAGCGCGGAGGAAGGTAGTCTAGTACTGGTGCAACTCTCCAGGAACGATGGTTAGGAAACTACCCGCCTATATGACTGAAATACTGTTGGGAAAAGGCATAAAAAAATGAAACAAACAAACAAAAACATATTTATTAAAATGTCACACTGAAGCAGAATATTCTGTAAACAAAAAAATAAATGAAGTTGCTGTTTATTTTTATATGAGTGATCAACAATGAGTGATATAGGGTGAATGATAATTATATGATAAACGATACATGTTAAAATACACTCATGGTGTAAACATATTTATTTAAGCTTGATTGCGAAACAAGTTCTTACAACTTATATTAATCACTTTCGAGTCCGCTTCCTGGAACCAACTAGTACAGGTGTCAGATGAAGAAACATGGTCGTGACCAAAGTAGGGCTCGTACCCATGACCTCTGGGTTGAGAGGCAGACACTTTAACCACTAGGCCACCGCTACCCTTATAAAATGCTTTCATGAGTCCATAAACTCTGATCCCCTTTCAAAATTAATTTTATTTAGTTCCGATTGTTTTCTTGTTTAGGGCACACTGTTTGGGACCATATGCCTTTTTCATGGAAAGCCACTGTGTAATTGAAAATCCATTTTTCCCCCATATGAACACATCTGCAGATTTCCCAAAAAATTAAAAATTTTTCCCATTTCATGATAAATGATGTCCTGCTTTGCCTGTGCTGGGTGGCCCATGGGGGTTTTGGTTTTGCACTCGACAGTATGTTCATGAAACGGGATCAATTAAGCTAGCCTGCAACTTTTTATTTTCTTGGGGTTTTTTGGCCTTTTTTACAGTATATACATAACATGTACTAAAAATTTTATTCATACAGAAATGCAGATAGGGCTTATCGATAGTGTGAAATGGGGGCGTGGTTTATAATCCCCGGCGTAACAATGTTTTACTGTGGAAACCTGATGTTGATGCATAATATGGACGTGTACTACCTCATAGTGTTTATGTTCCTGGAAATGTTTGCCCTGTCTTCTATTGCTTTTTTGTAAGTATATCACTTAAAGGAACTAGACCTGAAAACATGGCATTTTTCATTACATCAGGAACTAATATGGTATATTTAGGCCATGGCATTTTTCATTACATCAGGAACTAATATGGTATATTTAGGCCATGGCATTTTTCATTACATCAGGAACTAATATGGTATATTTAGGCCATGGCATTTTTCATTACATCAGGAAATTATATGGTATATTTAGGCCATGGCATTTTTCATTACATCAGGAACTAATATGGTATATTTAGGCCATGGCATTTTCCATTACATCAGGAACTAATATGGTATATTTAGGCCATGGCATTTTCCATTACATCAGGAACTAATATGGTATATTTAGGCCATGGCATTTTTCATTACATCAGGATCTAATATGGTATATTTAGGCCATGGCATTTTTCATTACATCAGGAACTAGTATGGTATATTTAGGCCATGGCATTTTTCATTACATCAGGAACTAATATGGTATATTTAGGCCATGGCATTTTTCATTACATCAGGAACTAATATGGTATATTTAGGCCATGGCATTTTTCATTACATCAGGAACTAATATGGTATATTTAGGCCATGGCATTTTTCATTACATCAGGAACTAATATGGTATATTTAGGCCATGGCATTTTTCATTACATCAGGAACTAATATGGTATATTTAGGCCATCATGACACTTTTTATTATTATTTTAGGATCTTATGGTATACCAAAGCCATGGTATTTTCGGAATTAATCGTAGCAGACGTCGTTACTACCTCGTCAATGATGATCCGGAAAATGATGATGTCACTGTTGATGATGACTCAGGTATATCTGATTTAAGTTTATTGTTTGGAGTTATTCCCTTTCAATTAGGAGTTATTTCCCTTTCCATTATTTTATGAATTTATATAGATATCATGTATAGTAAAATAAATCAATGCTTAGTGATAACATGAATCCTTTACTGTGGAAACAGGGCTGTGTTTCAATATCATCATCTTAATTTTACCATAAATAATCATTTTAAGGCTTTAAAGGATATAATGTCAAATTTCATGAGAAATCTGTCAACACTGAACAATATGAATACAGGACAGTGTCGCCTTGTCGGACAACATATAATAAATATTTTCAGGTATATATTGGTGTGGGTGTAACACAGACTGTATCTGTACACTAGATATTAAACCAGACCTGCGAGACTTGACAAGAGGAGAAGTTGTGACCAACTTGAGAAAGGTGAGTATGAATCATATATCCTTCTATCAAGATTAATACATCCATATGTCAAGATTTAAATATATTGCATTGGTATGTCAAGATTGATATTTTATGAGGTTTTGTCATGATAAGCTTGTTGGCGTTGGTTAACCTTTTTGGTTAAGTTTCCACATCATCAGGAATTTCAATAGTAATATAATATGATAAACAAGATCAACAAGGAAATGCTGCATTCAATGAACGCAACCCTAACACGACTATCATGTGAATAAACCTTGATGATTTCAGCCTGTCACACTGATTATATGTTCAAAAGGTCAAAGATCATTGTGACCTTTTTATATGTTAAGGTCCATTTTCTTAGAAACTTTCAAAGCTTCAAACTTATTTACTCATGCTATACAATTTCACAAGGGCAGATAATCCTTAATTTATATTTTACAAAGTTATTTCCCTTTAATAACTAAGAATTTTTTTAATAGGTATTCACTAAAAAATTTAGAATGCACTTCTTAAACGGCAGATAATCCTGAAGGGCATGTTTTGGGCATTTTTTGCTAAGTTATCTTTAATCTCCCATTATAGTTTGATATTGAATATTGATAAATATGTATAATGTTATTATATTAATTTGCTAGGTATACAAGAAGGGAGATAAATCAGCATTAGACAGTCTGTCTATGAATCAGATCACTGTGTTCCTCGGTCACAATGGTGCTGGAAAAACAACAACTATGTTAGTAAAACTTATATACAGTTAACACCATTGTACACGATAAGTTAAAGTTAGATTAGACTTTTGTTCTTTGTTATATATTTAAAGCAGAACCAGCATGGTTAACATTATAGAAAATGTTAAACAGTTTAGTATATGGTTATATTTGTTGCTGATTTTCATTGAATTGTACATTCTCTAGTGATTTTAGTGATTTCAAAATTTTGAAATTCAAACTTTTTTTCAGGTCAATAATAATTGGCATGTTCCCACCCACATCTGGTATACAGTATGTTGATAATGTGATGTCAGATATGGATACTGTAAGCCGGGATCTAGGGATGTGTCCGCAATATAAAGTTCTGTTTGAAAGTTAAAATAGGAATTTCATATACATGTTTACAAAATTATAAAATAACTGACAATATCTATATAAAGTGGGCATTCTTTATTTTGAATACCATTCTGATATACACTTTTCTGTACCCAATGTTTTTATTAAGTTTAGAAAAAATGTATATGTATAAGATATACACTTTTCTGTACCCAATGTTTTTATTAAGTTTAGAAAAAATGTATATGTATAAGAAAATATTCCAAGGTAAGAATAGTTTACCATAATGAAATTTTGTATAATCTGCTGATTAAGATTTAAGTGCTTTAAAAATATTTGTAACACTGTAACTGGTAGTTTTAAGTCTATTTGGAGTGTAGGACAAAAGCTCCCCCCGTGTAAAAATGACAAGGTGGACAAAGTCCCCCCATGAAATTTTCACATAGGACAAAAGCCCCCCCCCCATCAAAAATATCAAAAGCCCCCCATCTTTTTTCACATGCACAGGTGCTCAAATTCATCAAATTTCACACAAACTATTAAATAAAAATGAAAAGAATTTGTTTTAATGTTAAAGGGAAAGACAAGGTTAGAATAAAAACTTGATTTCAGAAAAAGAATACTTAACTAATAAATCTGCAAATTTTCTGCCGCCAAATAATAATATTAAACGAATGAGAACAAAATTTAAATCGCTAAATCACCGATTGCTACAAATCAGTAGGCGCGGCCATGTTTGTGTATTGGCCGTATAAAAACAGGTGCCATGATGTCATTTCCCCACATCTTTAGATTTATGATAAATCTAGTTGAATCGTAGCGAAATATTAATATAATAAAGTATTGACAAGACAATTAAATTTTCACAGGAGGTGTAGAGGATATTTTTATGGTTCAAAATACGTAACAATATCCAAACAAAAAACTAGAAATGTGTCCATAGGACACGGGTGCCCCCACCGCGCCACTGTTCAGTCAATCTTTTTACTAAGTCAAGGGAAATAACTCTACAAATACTGGATAAATCCACAAGCGAAACCCCAGGTTGCAAATCTAAAATATGCTGAACAACCTGCCCATTAGGTTTAATGGACTATGTCAAATTCCTTTTGAGTAGCATGCGACACAAGTTGAAAATTGCAAAAATTTCTAAGTGAAGGGCAATAACTCTAAAAATACTAAATAAATCCAGACAAAAATACCTGGTGCACAACTGCACATGCTGATCAATATTCCTATAAAGTTACATGATCTCTAGGTCAAATACTTTTTGAGTTACATGCGACACAATTTGAAAATTGCAAAATTTTTACTAAGTCAAGGGCAAAATACTAAAAATATCCAGAAGAAAATACCCAGGTGCACAACTACACATAATGATCAACATTCCTGTAAAGTTTCATGACTCTAGGTCAAATACTTTTTGAGTTACGTGCGACACAAGTTGAAAATTGCAAAATTTTACTAAGTCAAGGGCAATAACTCTGAAAATACTAAAAATATCCAGACGAAAATACCCAGGTGCACAACTACACATGCTGATCAACATTCCTGAAAAAGTTTCATGACTTGGGGTAAAATATTTTTGATTTCTCGACAAAGTTAAAAATTGAAAAATTTACAAAGTCAAAAAATCAAAAAAAAAAAAGAAAAAAAACCGGGTGCCATTAAAAGGGCTGATCAACATTCATGGAAAATTTTTCCCATGATCAAAAGTCAAAATTTTTGGGTTAATTCGGCGAACAATTGAAAATTGCAAAATTTTACTAATTCGGGGGGCCAATTTAACTTGGAAAATACTCAAAATTTTCCAAAACGAAAATCCCCCGTGCACAAATTTTCTACTGCTGACCCAACATTCCTGAAAGTTTTTGATCTAGGTCAATATTTTTTGGTTACGTGCGAAAAAAAAAGTGAAAGGGCCCGGACGGAAGGAGGGAGGGACGGACGGAAAAGGGGAAAAATCTAAAATCCCCGGCCAAAATCGGGGGGGAAAAAAAAAATAAAAAAACAAATAAAAAAAATCAACGTCTACCGATTGCACCACTTCAGGCCAGTGATGCCCTTTACTCCAAACAATGCTATGTTCATTAAAGTCTCATCTTAATGTAATTAAACAATATTTCACAGATTTAATAAATACACATGTTATTATTTAACAAAGTTTCACAATCAAATAATGCAAATAAATAAACAAACGCACCAACGAATAATTGGCTGTTAATTATTGAACGGCGATAATTATCATTATTATAAAAATCCTACTAAAACGTGTTCTTAATAGTACATGTAATTAAATTTTTGCAGTTTGATTCTGACTTTCAAATTAAAAGGTGTGAACATTATGTTATAATTGATGTACACATTTCAAAAATATAAGCAACTCTTTTGAAAAGTAAATTGTTAACATGTCTGTCAACGTATGATGCTGCGCATCGTTATAGTAGCCTAATATTAACTGCAGGCAAAACATTTTTATTGGCTGCTCAAAAATCTAATTTGCATAATTTATTCACACAATTGCTGGTTCTCTTACTACTTATGTCTAATACTGTGCATTGTACATTTTAATTGTTTCCTAATTTGCACCAAATCTTTCTGTCACACTGTGTACTGACGATTTTTATTGCTCCTTGTATGCTCTGTACCGACAGACCTTTTGATCATGCACAAAGTTGCCCTGATTGGTTAATCGCCCTTGTCAAATTTTTAAAATGACGAAATAGACATCTATTTTTTACGCTTCATCAGTGAACTGATTGACCTTAGGGGAAATTAAGTTCCGCACCTGTCAAGTTATACTGTAAATTACAACGCACGTCATAAAATAGCAACACATTTTTATCCAGTTACCAATAATCATTCTAAAATTAAGTAGATTTTATGATTTTTTGTTTTAATTGGATTAAATTTACTGTAGTAGAAAATGCATATCTGTGTGGGAAAAGGGATTGGGTAGGTAGATAACATGGAAAAAAGCTTATGGCGAATGGATAAACCCGAGAATATGCGTCATTACAGGGGAAATGGGCAACTGTTGCTGTTGGTAGCCAGTTTGTAGAGTGCTACAAACCTAACAAACAGTTTTTGTTTTCATTACGATATTAGTCTGGCTGCCGATTTTCCTGCGCCATTCTCATTTTTAGCGTCAATGGCGGAAAATCGCAATCCTTCGGCAGATCTCTGCATATTTGATTTAATTGATATTTTACGCTGAAAAAAAAGATTCATGACCGGCGATGTACCCTATTCGGAACAGCTTGTCTAGCGAAAATTAAGTACAAAAATAAAAAGATATATCGTCAATTTGAAGAAGTTTCTCATAGTACCAAATTAAATTGATGGTTTATCTTATCTTTGAAAATTAAGCAGTCATTGCTTAAATCATGGTGGTGGGATCATCAGCAAGCTTGAAAATCGGACAAATGATAATTAATGTCGCGGCGTCTTCAATTAATTAATTAAAGCAATTCAGTTCCATATGATGTTTTCATAAGTAATATATAATGTACACAATAAGATTAATAAGTTCTTCATCAAGATATATTTCAGTTGTACCAGCGTGTACACCTATACCGGAAGTGGGTGTAACACGTCACAACATTTCTCAGTCTCGTCTGTCTCGCGAGAATGACAGAACGCAAAAATGGCGGCGCCCATGAACTTATTTCTCAAGTAAAAGATAGTGTCTTAAAAACACGAATTTTCACTAATAGGGTTTGATGTCAACAGAAAATCTGTCATGGTACCTTTTTTAAATGATGAATATTTATATTAGAAAGACATCATTCCATCCATTCCTATTCCTTTAACAAGGGTCAGAAGAGTAGTAATGATTATTCACTTTTTGTAAAGGGATCAAATTAATATCCTTAGCACTATGTCACCTACATGTGATGTCCATACATATCTTTTTAAACACATAAAAAAACACAACTTTAGTACACTTTATGTAAATTTGATTTACTATGAGGGGGGCTTTTGTCCTACCTTTACTTTTTTATGGGGGGCTTTTGTCCTATGTGTAAATTTCATGGGGGGGGGCTTTTGTCCACCTTGTCATTTTTAGACGGGGGTCTTTCGTCGGGGAGGGGGGGTGCTTTTGTCTGTATCCCGTATATTTGCCATAGAAAAAATGAGATCTAGATTTCATTTTTAAATCAACGTAAATGCTGTAGACCTCTGAGACAAAAAACTGATTCCGCAACGCCCTTGTCTTTGGACATATTGATAGTAATTTAGGTAAATATGTACTCATGCATGTACATTCTCTTTTAAAACAGAACAAAACATAAACTTTATTTCAGAATTGTACAAAATACATCATCATACAAAAAATTATCATTTAAATATTTCAAATATGAATCACATTCTAATTATGTCTTTGTCAAATAGTAACAAAATGCATTCTTTTTACTTAATTTATAATTGCGCAAACCAAAAGCAAAATGTATTTGTTATTTCTGTAACTACAGAAATCATGCAATCAATGATATTTACCTATGCTAGGGGTGTGGATCGTCGGATAAGTGAGGATCCGATCCGAACCACGATTCAGCACTTACGATTCACAAATTGAACCACAAATCTTTTGTTATCAACACCCATAAAAACATGTACATTAGTTAAAAAAAATATGTTTTAATTAAAAAAAAACAATACTAAACATTAAACATATAAATTATAAAATAGATTTATGTTTTTATTCTTTG